CTGGGAAGGTCGGAAGGAAGACTGGACATGCCAACTCATGGTAACTATAGAGTCAGCCATTCATTATCATCCCATGACGACACACAGAAGGTGCGCCGTGAGCGCAGCATCCCGTTCCTTCTCCGACTGTACGTCTAATGCCCTTAATGCCTCCATTTTCTCTGGAGCTGCCTTATGAACGGAATAGGCGGCTGCTCAGAGCTGGGGAATCTTCGCAACTTTGGGTGCAGACTGAGACGGAGACGACTGGGTTCCAATTCCATGTGGGCTCTGAAGCGCTCCCATCTGGAGTGCTAGTATTTTAGAGATTCATGCACTAGTAATCAATCCACTCACCGTTCTGGGGGAGGAGTGGAGATCTTAACTTCAAAAGGAGGGAGCAAACATTCTGCCTCCTGTTAAAACTCCATACACTCACTGCAGAGACTGGATGCCTTATTAAAGCTTGGGTGGATGCCCAAGTGTTCAAAAGGTAAAACTCCAGATCACGAGTCATTAAGCCATCAGGCTGCTGAATGAATGAACAAATGCTGAGAGGGTGCTGCGCTTTCTTACGACAACTGCTCCCACCTGATATGTGCTTGGAGCTTTGTGGTTTCCAACATGCTTCAGACCCAAGAGGCAGCAGAGCATAGTGGTGAAGAAAGCAGGCTCTGAGCTCTGCTGCGCCTTGTCTCTGTGACTTCGTCAAGTTGCTTAACCTCTCTGAGCCTCAGTTTCCTGGAGCTAACCTCTTCATCTCAGGGTTATCCTAAGGATTACAGGAAATAAGGCAGCCCGAAGGCTTAGCAAGTGCGTAGCGCCTAGTCAACACTCAACTAAAGGTGGCTATTCTTACTCCTGGTTCATTTGATCTTTGTCCTCAGAGTGGGCAAAGGATGGACAAGGCCCCATGGCTAGTTAGGAGCAGAAGCAAGACTGGAATCAGGTGTCCTGGGCCCTGGTCTTAGGCCAAGAAAAATCACATCAGACGCACGTTTTCCTGCAAGTGGACTCTCAGTAATTCACATGGAGAAATGTCTATTTAGGTCTTCTGCCCATTTTTAGATTGGGTTGTTTGTTTTTTTGATATTGAGCTGCATGAGTTGCTTGTATATTTTGGAGATTAATCCTTTGTCAGTTGCTTCGTTTGCAAATATTTTCTCCCATTCTGAGGGTTGTCTTTTTGTCTTATTTATGGTTTCCTTTGCTATGCAATAGGTCCCATTGGTTCATTTTTGTTTTTATTTCCATTTCTCTAGGAGGTGGGTCAAAAAGGATCTTGCTGTGATTTACGTCATAGAGTGTTCTGCCTATGTTTCCCTCTAAGAGTTTTATAGTGTCTGGCCTTATATTTAGGTCTTTAATCCATTGAGTTTATGTTTTGTGTATGGTGTTAGGGAGTGTTCTAATTTCATTCTTTTACATGTAGCTGTCCAGTGTTCCCAGCACCACTTATTGAAGAGGCTGTCTTTTCTCCATTGTGTATTCTTGCCTCCTTTGTCAAAGATAAGGTGACCATATGTGCATGGGTTTATTTCTGGGCTTTCTATCCTGTTGCACTGATCTATGTTTCTGTTTTTGTGCTAGTACCATACTGTCTGGATTACTGTAGCTTTGTAGTATAGTCTGAAGTCAGGGAGCCTGATTCCTCCAGCTCTGTTTTTCTTTCTCCAGATTGCTTTGGCTATTTGGGGTCTCTTGTGTTTCCATACAAATTGTAAAATTTCTTGTTCTAGTTCTGTGAAAAATGCCATTGGTATCACCTCACACCAGTCAGAATGGCCATCATCAAAAAATCTACAAACAATAAATGCTGGAGAGGGTGTGGAGAAAAGGGAACCCTCTTGCACTGTTGGTGGGAATGTAAATTGATACAGCCACTATGCAGAACAGTATGGAGGTTCCTTAAAAAACTACAAATAGAACTACCATATGACCCAGCAATCCCACTACTGGGCATATACCCTGAGAAAACCATAATTCAAAAAGAGTCATGTACCAAAATGTTCATTGCAGCTCTATTTACAATAGCCCGGAGATGGAAGCAATCTAAGTGTCCACTGACAGAAGAATGGATAAAGAATATGTGGCATATATATACAATGGAATATTACTCAGCCATAAAAGAAACGAAATTGAGTTATTTGTAGTGAGGTGGATGGGCCTAGAGTCTGTCCTACAGAGTGAAGTAAGTCAGAAAGAGAAAAACAAATTCTGCATGCTAACACATATGTATGGAATCTAAAAAAAAAAAAAGGTTCTAATGAACCTAGTGGCAGGCCGGGAATAAAGACGCAGATGTAGAGAATGGACGTGAGGACACGGGGAGGGGGAAGGGTAAGCTGGGATGAAGTGAGAGAGTGGCACGGACATATACACACTACCAAATGTAAAATAGCTAGCTAGTGGGAAGGAGCCGCGTAGCACAGAGAGATCAGCTCGGTGCTTTGTGTCCACCTACAGGGGTGGGATGGGGAGGGTGGGAGGGAGACCCAAGAGGGACGGATATGGGGATATGTGTATACGTATAGCTGATTCACTTTGTTATACAGCAGAAACTAACACACCATTGTAAAGCAATTATACTCCAATAAAGATGTTAAAAAAAAACCTTCACATGTAAATCCCAGGGCTGTTTCAAAGAGCTCTCCTTTGGGACTGATATAATTTTATTAACAGAACTTGACTTGAAATTTGTTTTTTGTTGTTGTTAGTCTGTTTTTTTTGTCCTTTCCCTCTACGCTGAGGATGCTGGCAGGACAAGGGAGGGTGGTGCTAGGGAAGTGCTTCCAGAGGCACACAGTTTCCTGGGGCTGGGGTGTGGGGTGTCATCCGTGGATGTTATAAAAGCACCCGAGGGAGAGCAAGCATTGGAAACAGCCGAGATCCAGTCCAGGCCACACCTGGGAGGTGCCAGTCCAGCTCCCACAAAGGACTGCTTTCTGCTGCTGCCATCCTGGGCCCTGTATTAACTTATCTGGACAGCAGGTGTCACGGTGAACTGACTGGCCATTCTGCTTTGAATCTGTCCGTCTCTGTCCACAAACACGGGGCTGCTGAGCCACTCAGCGTGTGGAGCAGAGCTCCGTGTGGGCACCAGGTACCTTCCTGAAGCTGCAGGGATTGACCAGCTGCGAGAAGGCAGCTGTGCTCAAACCAGGAACTGCTCAAACCAGAACTGGCTGCACCAGCAGTGCCTGGCTCCATACCCATCAGGCACAGCCAGAGGAGCGGGTGCCCTAGGTGTCAGCTCCTTCAGAGGCCATGTGCATCTTCCAAGAGGATGAATGTGATTTTGACCTTTCGGAGCCCAAGGCTTGGATCCCCTCCACTGGGGCAAATCCACGGTCTTCTAGGACAGCTTGGCTTTTCAGAAACAGCTCACTCTGAGCCATTGGCGGAGAATAAGGTGTGCCACGGAGGGGGGAGAAGGGCTGATTTTGATCAAGACCGGAGTGTGACTCTAAAGCGATGAATGTGAATTTTTGGCAAGACTTACAAAGGACTCTAAAGGCCACCTACAAAGAGAAGCCTAGCCCGGAAACGGCGTGAGCAAGGGCCGCTTCTCCAGAGTGAGGGCACGGGTGGCAGCTCTAAGAACCTGTTCTAGGAAAAACCCATCCTGCGCTGAGATCTACACTCATCAAAACCAAAACAATTACTTACTAGTCACACGTTTTAAAAGAGTGTTGGTGGGGCACATGGGGGGAAGGGGAAGAGGATCCTGCATCTACAACCCACCCAGTCTTCTCCCCTAGGGTTGGAAACAAGCGTGAAACAAAGGAGAAACTGCAAGTCCCGTTGAAACTGACCATGAACTCTGGACGCAAGAGGCTTTCCTTCACTAACTTAGTTCTTGACCATAAAAGAGAAGCAAGAACTAAAAAGGGTAATTAGGATGGAGGGTAGAGATTGCCATGGAAAGATGCCTGACGGGAGGGCTGGTAATTTGGAGGACAGGCCAAAGAAATTGCTCCCTCTCTGCCATCCCATCTTTCCGCCATCTCTGTGAGAGCTGGAACTTCAGTAAACAAAGTTTTGTAAATGCCTCAACTGGATACCACATTTTCAGTACATTGTTGGTGGTAGACAACCAGGGCAAAAGACAGCAACAGGATTTCAACAATGTCCCCGCACACTTGTGCACAGATCAGAATCCTCAACTAAATAGAAAACTGACTTACTGAAAGTGGATTGCCCTTGGAATTGGAGAAGCCAGGCCCTCTAGTTATGTGAAATGACATTACCTCAGAGCTCCCAGCTCCCAGTTCTCTGAACAGGAAGGAAGCAGACCCACGGGTCTAGAAGAGCCATTTCCTCTCTGCTCTGTTAATTGCAGAGATTAAGTGAGCCACTCCTTTGTGGACCTAATACACTGAGATAACAGCCATTGTGTTTGCGGCACCTCCTATTAACTGAGCTAACCCTGGTAGACTGGCGAGGTTGCAGGCTTTTATTGTCAGATTCAACCAACCAATGGCACTCTGGAATCCCTAACCCTGAGTTTCGGACCCATGGATGACATCTGAGTTCCAAGGGAAGAAAGCAGAAATTTGTCAAATGAGTTTTTGAAAGGACATCAGGGCCAGAGAATCGAATGGGAATATCTTTCTGTGCCCTACTCACTGGCTTCCTGTTCTCAGTGGTACTAGGAAGCTAATATAATATATCTAGTGCTTGTCATCTCCACATTCCTGGTTTCTATTAAGGTAAAAAGTAGGTCTTTTTCCCTTTTCACCCTTCATCTCTTTCCAGTTGAACGGGTGCAGTGCAGAGAGAGCTGGACTGGGAATCCACATGGAACCTTGGACTCTATTTCCTGCTCTTCCAAAAACTCACAAGGGGCAAGGTCAGCTCATCTCCCAGATCCCTTCCAGGTCAGATTTCAGTTCCTTACATTTTGGGTTGGTTGCTTGCCACCAAGTTCGCACAGAGAATTTCAATAACACATATTACGTTCAAGTTTAAGATTAGAAGCATTCAAAACCCCCCTCCCCCCCGATAGCCCATTGTCTGACCGATTCCTGGAGCTTTCTGGGCTCCTGACGATTTCCCACCATGGCGAAATGGGGAAGCATGCTCTTGATTACAAGCCGACTTTTCCAGTCATCCATTGTTTGACCTGCAATTTTATTCTTGACTCTCCAAGGCGCTTCCCAAACGACCTAGACACAGGGCTTAGGGAGACAAAAAGTACACTGTCTTTCAGATACGAAGATGAGACCATTGACCCCGTGAATCACAGACTTGCATTCTGAGGACAGGTTTAGGTGGAGTCAGCCACGTTCGTTTTCCTGTCTCTCTTCCCACCCCACCACCCTCATGGAGCCCCTCCCACCTCCAGGGATGAAGGGCACCTCTGGGAGGCACTTGGCTGGGATGAGACCGCAGTCCCTGGCCATGGGGCAGAGTGAAGTTCACTGGAGAGCTGAGGGATGGGTGGAGAAGCAGCCCAATGTACCTTAAATAACAGTGGGCTTAAAGGCAGGGAATGGGGCTCCTGGGTCTGACTTTGCTTGTGTGGTACGCAGTGAGATCTGGGGAAAGGCTTTTCTGTTTTCTGACACAGGTTTTTGTTTTGTTTTTTTTAATATGAAAACCATGGCGGTTGGATCACGTGATGGCTTATTGCCCCTTCAGCTCTACTGAAGCCTTTGGCCCATAGAAGGAGCAACTCCCCACTCTGCCCGTTAGCACCCAGCCAAGTGAGCTGACAGGTCATAACCTGACAGTCAATGGAAAGAAGCAATGGACATTGGAAGGGGCTCATGAGACCCTGGTGCACCGGTTTACAAAAAACTAACCAAGCTGGCTGCCATCATGGCTGCCCCAATTTATGCCCTCCGTGACAGATGAGCGGACACGTGCAAACCCAGGTACAGCGGACTTTTTTCGTTTTGTTTTGTTTCATTTCTTTTTGTTCTCACAATGTAGACGTGGAATAGGAGCTCTGCTAAGACATTCATATGCGAGGGAAGCTCTCCTTCCCATAGATCTACTTGGCAGTACAAAACCAGGTCTAAAATTTCCATGTCCAGATGCCTGGCTCTGGAAAAATAAGAGAAGTACTTTCCCCATTCTCCCACTGAGTACAACTGAAACCTCTGGACATTACATATAAAACAAACATAAGAAGACCCTGAAAGGTGGAGAGAAGAAAGCAGGCTGGATAGGGACCTTGGGACCTAAGGAACAACGTGGTGGCGAGCTCCCTGGGTTTTCATTCTGCCTCATAGATCCCAGATCAGGACCTGAAGAAGCCAACGATCCAAAGTGCCAATGAACAGAGACAAAAAGGCTCCAGCAAAAGCCAAAGGACTGGGAAAGGGGCAGCCTCCCAAGACCGAAAACTTTTATACAAGAACCACTCTAATTCAGCTAAACACCATAGAAAAAAGGGTGTTCCCACCCAGCCCCATCAGTAAAGGCCAACTGGGGGCCTAGAATCCACTCCCACAGAACGGTAATGAGTCATCTCTCCCTGTCCCTGCTAGGGTGGTGTTAGAAGAGACCTCATAGAGAGCCAGGACCTTTGCCCCTGGCACAGTGGTAATAGGTCCACATCCCATCCCTTCCAGTGTCAGTGGAGATCACATGGGGGAACAGTAATGAGGCACTCCTACCTATCCCAGCCAGGGTGGCATTAGTGGAAGCCCAGTGGGGAGCTGGAACTGTCACCACTGCCCAGCAGTAATGAGAAGCCCCGACCTCCCCCGTGTCAAGGAAGGCTAAGTGGGGAACCTGGATTTCTATAGCTACCTGGCAGAAATGAGAGAGTGTGCTCCCCCTTTCCCTGCCAGAGCATTGTCAGAGGAAGTCAGCTAAAACAGAAGATCTAAATAAGTGCTGAGAAATACGCTTCAGGTATGGAAGGGGAATCAAGACATTCTTAGATGAAGGGAAACTAAAAAGGAAAACTAAAAGACTTTGTTAACAACAGACCTCTCCTAAGAGAATGGCTAAAGGTTCTCTGAACGGAAAGGAAATGATAAAAGCAGAAAATTTGGACATCACCAAGGAAGAAAGAACAATGGAAAGAGAAAAAATATGGGTAAATAGAATAGACTTTCCTTTTCCTTTCAAGTTTTCTAAATTATGTTTGGTGGTCGAAGCACCAATTATAACAGTGCATGCTATGGTTCTAAATGTATGTGGGAGAAATATTTAACGATTACATTACAAACAGAGGAGGGTGGTAAAGCAGTGGAAAGAGAGGTAAGGTTTCTATACTTCACTTGAACTGGTAAAATGTTGACATCAGTAGATGCTTATAAGTTATTTATATACGATGTAATACCTAGAGCCAGCAAGAAAAACGGTATACGAAAAGAAACATGCAAAACAGTGTATGTGAATCATCAAATGGAATTCTAAAAAATATTCAGGTCACCCACAGGAAGACAGGAAAAAGAAAATAGAGAGCAAACAGAAATTAAAAATAAGTTGGCAGAATTAAGCACTAACATCAATAAGTACATTAAGTGAAAAGGATCTAAATACACCTATTAAAAGACAGAAATTGACAGAGTCAATAAAAAAACATAAGCCAACTATATGATGTCTGCAAGATGCTCACCTCAACTATAATGATATGGGCATGTAGAAAGTAAAAGGATGAAAAAACATGCAAATGTTAATTTAAAAAAAAAGGAGCAGGGGTGGCTCTAGTAATACCAGATAAAGTAACTTCAGAACAAAGAAAATTACCAGGCACAGAGAGGGGCATTACATTATGGAAAAAGGGTCAATCTACCAAGAAGAAAAAGTAATCCTAAATGTGTATGCACCAAACCACAGAGCTACATGATATATGGAGCAAAAATTAACATAACTGAAAGGAGAAATTTACATTTATAGTGGAGACTTCAATGTCCTCTCTCAATAGTTGATAGAACAATTAGACAGAAAATCAGCAAGATATCGAAGAACTCAACACCACCACCATCTAATAGGATCTAACTGACATTTATAGAACACTCCACCAAGAAACAGGAAAATTTACATTCTTTTCAAGCATCCAAGAAATATATACCAAGATAGACATATTTTGGACTATAAAACAATCTACCAAATTTTTAAGAAGTTGAAGTAATACACGATGGCTTAGTACATAGTGAATGTACTGATGCCACCGAATTGTTACGTGAATTTCACCTTCATTTAAAAAGAATCAATACCACCAAATACTGGCAACAATGGGAGAAACTGGATTACTCATACATTGTTGGAGGGAATGAGAACTGGCGCTTTCTTAAAAACGGAACATGCAACTCCTACATGACCCAGCAATTGCACTACTGGGTATTTATCCCACAGGAATGAAAACTTGTAGTCATACAAAAATTTGTAAACAAGTGTTTATAGTAGATTTATTCATGATAGCCCCAAACTGGAAACAACCCAGAAATCTTTCAATGAACGAAGGATTAAACAAACTGGCACCTGTATACCATGGTACACTCCCCGGCAAAAAAAAAGACACGACTGTTGATATACATATAATGACCTGGATGAATCTGCAGAGAACTACGCTGAGTGAAAAAAAAAGGCAACCCCCCAAACTTACATACTGTGTGATTCCATTTATATAATTCTTAAAATGACAGAACTATAGAAATGGACTGATTAGACATTGCCAAAGGGTAAGGAGGAGGTTGGTGTGGGAAGGAAGTGGATGTGTCCATAAACGGGCAAAATGAGGGATTCATGTGGAGATGGAAATGTTCTGTACCTTGACTGTACCCATGTCAGCATCCTGCTTGTGATATTATACTACAGTTTTGCAAGATGTTATCATTAGGCGAAGCTGGCTAAAGGGTACATGGGATCTATTTGCATTCTTTCTTTTTTTTTTTTTAAATAAGATGTTGGGGGGTAGGAGTTTATTAATTAATTAATTTATTTTTGTTGTGTTGGTTCTTCGTTTCTGGGCAAGGGCTTTCTCTAGTTGTGGCAAGCGGGGGCCACTCTTCATCGTGGTGCACAGGCCTCTCATTATCGTGGCCTCTCTTGTTGTGGAGCACAGGCTCCAGATGCGCAGGCTCAGTAGTTGTGGCTCACGGGCCTAGTTGCTCCGCGGAATATGGGATCCTCCCAGACTGGGGCTCGAACCCATGTCCCCTGCATTAGCAAGCAGATTCTCAACCACTGCACCACCAGGGAAGCCCTATTTGCATTATTTCTTACACCTGCATGTGAATCTACAATTATCTCAAAACCACAAATTCAATTAAAATCATATGACCGTATTATGTGATGCAGAAAACGGACTTCACAAAATTCAACACCCATTCACGATGAAAACTCTCAGAAAACCAGAACTAGAGGGGAACTTCCTCAACTTGGTAAAGAACATCTACAATATATCTACAGCTAACTTCACACTTAATGATTAAAGACTGAATGCTTTCCCTTCACGATTGGTAACAAGGCAAGGATATCTGCTCTCTTCACTGCTTGTATCAAATCGGTATGTTGGACATCTTAAACTTACACCATGTTGTGTGTCAAATATATCTCAATAAAACAAAAACACAGTACTGGAAGTTCTAGCTAGTTCATTAAGGCAAGAGAACTAATAAAAGGCATACATATTAGAAGCAAAACTATATTTATAGGTGATACGATTGTCTACATGGAAATCTTAACAAATTTACAAAGTAACTCCTGGAACTAACAAGTAAGTTCAGGAAGTTCTCAGGATACAAGATCAACATACAAAAATCAATTGCGGGCTTCCCTGGTGGCTCAGTGGTTGAGAGTCCGCCTGCCGATGCAGGGGACATGGGTTCGCGTCCCGGTCCGGGAAGATCCCACATGCCGCAGAGCAGCTGGGCCCGTGAGCCATGGCTGCTGGGCCTGCACGTTCGGAGCCTGTGCTCTGCAATGGGAGAGGCCACAACAGTGAGAAGCCCGCGTACCACAAAAAAAAAAAAAAAAAAAAAAAAAAAAATCAATTGCTCTGGGACTTCCCTGGTGGCGCAGTGGTTAAGAATCCGCCTGCCAATGCGGGGGACACAGATTCGATCCCTGGTCCGGGAAGATCCCACATGCTGCAGAGCAACTAAGCCTGTGCGCCACAACTACTGGGCCTCTGCCCTAGAGCCCATGAGCCACAACTACTGAGCCCACGTGCTGGAACTACTGAAACCCACACACCTAGAGCCCGTGCTCCACA